AGGCCATTTCCTTTTATGCATCAAGGACGACCTTTCTACTAGTCCTTTAGTGAGAGGATCTGCAATATTCCTATCGGATCTCACAAACTCCAACGTGATTACCCCAGTCGTGATCAATTGTCATACGGACTGATGTCTGACCCTTATGTGCATTCTTTTCCCATTGTAAGCACTATTCTTTGCTACGCATATAGCAGTTTGAGAATCGCGGTGTATGGACACAGATGGTGTAGTACACCCCCCACAACGGCACGTCTGCCAGTAGGTTTCTTAGCCACTCGGCCTCTTGTCCAGCTAGATCAAGCGCTATGAACTAAGCTTCCATAGTTGATCTTGCTATACACGATTGTTTAGTGGATTTCTACGATAGTGCCGCTCCACCCATAGTGAACACATATCCACTGGTGGAGCTTACATCACTACTGTCATTTACCCAGTTCGCATCACAGTACCCATCTAAGGCTGCTGGGAATCCAGTATAGTGTAGTCCCTAGTCGATAGTACCCTTTAAGTAGCGTAGCACTCTCCTTAGTGTATGCCAGTGGCTGTCACTTAGATTATGAGTGTATCGACTGAGTCTATTTACTGCAAGGGCGATATCAGGTCTGGTGTAGTTCATTAAGAACATCAAACTTCCAATTAGTTTGGCATATTATTCTTGTGACACACCCGTCTCAGTGCTTTTTGACAGTTTTACGCTCGGATCATAGGAGTTTGTGCAGGAGTCACTTCGAAGCTATTAAACTTCCTTAATAGCTTCTCTATATAGTGACATCGGTCTCCCCTAGATCCTTCATGTCAAACTTATCACATAGCATTTGTTTAGTCTCTTTTATAGCATCTATATTGTGGCTAAATATTAGTATGTCATCCACATAGATGCATATAAGCACAACACTTGAGTCTACCTCTTTTGAGTATAGGCACTAAGAGCACTTTTGTACTCAAGTCATTATGCAGTGACTTCATTAGGTTTGTCTCAACAAAACCACCATTCTCAAAGAATTATGAATTCATTAAGAGCAGTAGCTCAACCTTACAAGTACACACATTGTAGGAATGACCAACTAGTGTACTATTTTGTAATTCTTTTAATTGCTTCGTTTGACCACAAAAGTGGGATCCACCACGAATTTATTACCACTTGGATTTTAAGTCCTTCCAATGACTAATCTTCATAATTAGCCTTCAAGTAAGTTAATTCTCTTGATCAAACTTACATGCACTTTGACGAGTACTTCATTTACTCGTGAATAATCACTTGAGATTTTCATGCTTAACATGAAACATTCTCTTTATCATTATTCTCAATACCACGGAGAAACTTTTAGTGAAAATATAAGGAGTTAATCACCCCCACAATGAAACACTTACAAATATTTTTTCTCAAAAGTATTTGATCTCTTACCCAGATTGATTTTTGGTGCCCGACATTAGCTCCATTGTAGACTGAGTTTTATCAATTTGCTTTGTGGAGCACTATAGCAGCTCCGCACTTTGCCTGATACATACCCAATAGTTGAATATATTTCAACAAACTCGGTTATCTCAACCTATCATAATTTTCCTTTAAACAAGAATTATAGGTCTTTCAAGATGACTCAACCAAGAATTTAAATAATGATATTATATACAAATGCTCATTGTTAGTAAGACATAGAAATAATGTTGTCCACATGCTACTTCAAGTTGAACAGCATAATCATAAATTTCACATCATATTCTTACAAGAAATTAATCTCATACACCAAGAATATGTTCAAACTAACATTCATTAGAAAATATCTCTCAACAAGGAGAATTCAAAGTTGCCACTTGCACAACTTTTCCTTCGGTTGAGGAGATTAAAACTCATATAGAGCATTCATGTGATGCATATCAATATTACTATTGCAGTACTTCAACAATTTCTATTGCAAGGCTTTGATTGTTTATCAACGAGGAAATTTTAATTTCGGTCCTATGACTATAGGGGTCTTGTTAATTTCAGTCCCTGACTTTTAAAAATGCCAATTTAGTACCTTAACTATGCAATTTTTGTCAATTTTAGTCACTCCGGCCAAATTGCCGGCCAAATTCTGCCGAAAAATTTTAATTGTTAAAATAATGAGGGTATTTTGATCATTTCACATCTCTTTTCTTCTTCCCATGCGAGTCCATCCCTTCCTCTCCTGTTTCCGGCGAATGCAATGAAATAATTAAGATGATGGGGAAAGGAGGCTTGATGATATTAAAGATAGGGTTTACTGGGAGAAAGAACGCCGGAAATGGGAGAGAAAGGGAAGGACTCGCCGGAGAAGAAGAAAAGAGGCGTGAAATGACCAAAATATCCTCATTATTTTAATTATTAAAATTTTTCGGTGAAATTTGGCGGACAATTTGGTCGGAGTGACCAAAATTGAAAAAAATTGCATAGTTAAGGTACTAAATTGACAATTTTGAAAGTCAGGGATTAAAATTAACAAGACCCCTATAGTCATATGACCAAATTTGAAATTTCCTCGTTTATCAACATATGAAAGTCAGCCTCATTTCAGGTGGAGCTCAAGTGACCCTATAACTAGTCTGCATGATCAACACCCTACTTTTTAAGCACTCCCAGGTCGAGTGTTGAAACCGAAGTTTACTTAAAAACCATCATCCTAGACATAGTGTTCAAGAATGATGACATTTCCATGTTCTCATTAAATTGCAATTGAAGCCTTTGATATATGCTCTTATTTTATTTTAGTAAAAATATTTGAGCAATATCTATGCACAAATCATTTCATTCAATGTCATTAGTATTCAACATACTAAAGAAATAAGTACTACTAAGTAATCAAAACCTAGGCAACCCAACTAGTATTTAGTACTAAAAAAACATACTTCATGCAAGACCTTAGAGCTAGAGCAATTATACTTACTCAAAATAACTACTTATTTAAAGAGACTCAATACTCATCTTGCTCTGTCATATTGACTTTTGCTAGTTTTGCCCTTGTGATGGTAGCACTGGTTTGCTCGGTGTCCTTGTTTTTCGCACACAAAACATCTTCCTTTGAACTTCTTGACTTTTCCACTCATTTTGTTGTAGACGATTCTGACACTTTGATTTTCAGTATCATTGGCACCGTACTTTTCTGACAGTGATTCCCAAATGACTTTTGCCGAGTATTGTTTGACATAGATGTCGAACAAATTGTCATTCATTTGTGACATAAGGTATCCTCTGGCTGCCGCATTGTCATTTCTAAACTGCATCAGAGTTACACCCGATTCTTGACTCGGAATGTAATCTATTTCAGGGTTGTATTCTCTCGATTCTTTACCGGAAGTGTAATCAGGTTCATGGTTAGCTTTTGTAGCACCAAGTGGAGAGAACACTGCTGGAGTAGGTACAGGTGCAACTGAATACAACAAGTAAACAAACTTTAATTGTTCAAAGATGATACACATTCTTTGAGCCCACCTTTTATAATTTTTTTCATCAAGCAGATCTTTGATAGATCGTGTATGACAAAAGGTGCCATAACGCTAAAGGTTGACTGTTCCTGAAATAACGCTTTTAACTGTTGGAGAATATTCACAACGTCAACGCGCGGGCGGGAAACCTTTTAAGAAGCACGGACACAACAGGTGTATGGTAGAAGGGAAATCTGTCCCGTGTTATAATAACACTGCCTTAAAAGCGTTATTTGCCCGGTAACGGTGCAGTTAGAACCCTGGCACACTTTCGACAGGCTACACATGTAACACCCCCGAATTTCAACAACTTTTAAAACCAATTAAAGCTTAGAAAAGAGATGCAGTCTAAACATTTTGAAGCCTTTGATATATGCTCTTATTTTATTTTAGTAAAAATATTTGAGCAATATCTATGCACAAATCATTTCATTCAATGTCATTAGTATTCAACATACTAAAGAAATAAGTACTACTAAGTAATCAAAACCTAGGCAACCCAACTAGTATTTAGTACTAAAAAAACATACTTCATGCAAGACCTTAGAGCTAGAGCAATTATACTTACTCAAAATAACTACTTATTTAAAGAGACTCAATACTCATCTTGCTCTGTCATATTGACTTTTGCTAGTTTTGCCCTTGTGATGGTAGCACTGGTTTGCTCGGTGTCCTTGTTTTTCGCACACAAAACATCTTCCTTTGAACTTCTTGACTTTTCCACTCATTTTGTTGTAGACGATTCTGACACTTTGATTTTCAGTATCATTGGCACCGTACTTTTCTGACAGTGATTCCCAAATGACTTTTGCCGAGTATTGTTTGACATAGATGTCGAACAAATTGTCATTCATTTGTGACATAAGGTATCCTCTGGCTGCCGCATTGTCATTTCTAAACTGCATCAGAGTTACACCCGATTCTTGACTCGGAATGTAATCTATTTCAGGGTTGTATTCTCTCGATTCTTTACCGGAAGTGTAATCAGGTTCATGGTTAGCTTTTGTAGCACCAAGTGGAGAGAACACTGCTGGAGTAGGTACAGGTGCAACTGAATACAACAAGTAAACAAACTTTAATTGTTCAAAGGATACACATTCTTTGAGCCCACCTTTTATAATTTTTTTCATCAAGCAGATCTTTGATAGATCGTGTATGACAAAATGTGCCATAACGCTAAAGGTTGACTGTTCCTGAAATAACGCTTTTAACTGTTGAGAATATTCACAATTAACGCGAAACCTTTTAAGAGCACGGACACAACAGGTGTATGGTAGAAGGAAATCTGTCCCGTGTTATAACACTGCCTTAAAAGCGTTATTGCCCGGTAACGGTGCAGTTAGAACCCTGGCACACTTTCGACAGGCTACACATGTAACACCCCCGAATTTCAACAACTTTTAAAACCAATTAAAGCTTAGAAAAGAGATGCAGTCTAAACATTAACATAAGAAAAGCGGCAGCTAACTACACCAATCGGGAGATGTTATGCCACACCTAAACAACAATAGGTGCACAGGCAAACACTAACCACTAAACAGTCTAACAAATCAACTACTTAGGCTCACAGGCCCTCAATAACTATTAAAGAGAGTCTAATCTATCTACAGGTCAATAACGCGCTCTCCAAAGCTACTCAACCTGTAAAAGATAAGGATAACACCCGGTCAGCGAATAATGCTGGTAACCCATCAACATGCCGTTATGTATCATAATATATACATAGATATAATCAAAAGCGTTTGAAACTGGAATACAATATATATCATTTTAAAGCCGAGAGAGGGAATCATCAATGGACTCATCAATCACACACAACAAAGGTCAAAGACCAACATACTCAACAAGACAATAGAACACAAGCAACAAGCTCAATAACAAGGTACAACATGCGACACACAACGAAGGATTCACAATAGACATGCTCTTAAGTAATGGAAGGTAAGATTCACACCATAACGAGTTCCAAGTCCACGTGGGACACTATCACACCAAGTCATATACCGTGGAGTCAGCACCACGGCTCGATTCATAGTGGATCAGTGTGGAGGCTCCAAATCATCAATAATCATGCTTCACGTGGTAATCGCAACGACCCGGATCACATGCACGTGTCATCGCAATGACAAGGACCGCAACCCAATGGAAACAGAGCTAGCAACTTTAAGTGTATACACCCCTATTGAGATTCCAAGCTCAACGGGTTAGTTACTATCTCTGGCAATGGGATGAGTTTCCCATGTTGCCCACAAGTCACAAGTAACCAAACGGCCATCCGGAGCTTCACTACCGGTCCGTTCACACATAAGTCCCCACACTATCCACTTTACCTGCTCAATCATCTCATCACATCAATCACCATCTCATCAAGAGTCAAAACACACGGAATCTAGAGATACAACAACACCTAGATTCCACACAAAGTGTGTACAACAACGGATACCCATCTGTACCTTGGAGATTAAGGTCCCATACCCTTAATCGTGCAATCAAGGTACAGCAATACCCATGTTTTTCATCACAGGAATCAATCAATGGATCACAACAAAGATATGACACTATACTCAACAAGGAAGGATTACAATCCGACACCAACGATGGTCAACACAAGTTGCCAACCTCAATAGGAAAGAACAAACCACACACACTAGCATTACAACATCAAACTAGCATGCATATCAAACGGGTAAACCAAAATAGTTCTAATAAACCACAAAGACTCAACATCAATCCAACGAATCACAAGGTTGGATCATAAGTACGATTCAAGACACCAAATCCTAACGTGGATTACTAACTCATCGTTCTAGACATACGAAACATCAAGAAGACTCACAAAAGCTCAATAATTCAACAACGAGAGGTCAAAACATCAAAAACCAAGAAGAAGGGATCACGGGGGACAAATCCCCGCAATCCCAAACATGTTCCCCGCGGGGGAACCACGGGTAGGGCTCCACCCGTGGTTCCACTCGCGGGTACACCCTGCACCCAAAAATCAGCATTCCTTGTTTTGCAGTTTTAAGGTCAAGTTCAAGTCCAAATGACCCCAAATCTTCCACACAACAAAGATATGACTTGAACCTATGAATAACTCATAAAATAGCATTTAATAACCCTAAAATACAAGCTCTAAAAATGCATCACCACAAGACAACGCATCAATCACTCAAACACATCAAGAATGTCACATAGAAGCCAATAATCATTATTATCAAGTGAAAATAGGTTTTGTGTAGCATGGGTTACCTCTTGTAGACCAAGAACACCTTCTTCAACCTTAAAGCAAGACCAAAGCTCCTCTAGATCAACCTAGCACTTCACCCACCACTAGATCTTCTACAAACTCCCAAAACCCACAAGGTAGAAGAAAGATTTAGAGAAAAGATGGGGGAATCTTGTAAGGAACCGTCGTTCCCCCTCAAATAGTCCCTCCAACAGAACCACCGATTTCATAGTACACGAGGGTACCGATCACACACACGGCAACACATGCCCTGGATAACACATGTTATCCCAGAAATAAACACGTGAACCTTACACAAAGGCCACAAATCCATAATCACGTCATGGCCACCACGAGGACCACTGCAATACCTTGGTGACTAGTGTCCCATACCACTAATCGTGCAATCCAGGTAAAGCCACACACACCACACCTCAACAGGAATCAATCAACGGATCACAACGAAGATATGAAACCATAATCAAGGAATGGGTCACAGCCCAACAACAACAACGATGAATAACACAAGTTATCATCAACCAATAAGAAGGTACAAACAACACACACGCTAGCATTTAAACACCGAACAAGCATGCTTATCAAACGGGTAAACCAAACGTAGTTCCGAATAACACACAAGACTCATCACGGTTCAACGAAACACAATGTTGAACACTTAGCACGATTCACGACACCAAAACCTACATGGATTCCTACCATATAGTTCTAGACATACGAAACATCGAGAAGACACTCAAATAGTTCCACAAAAGAACATCGGACAGTCAAAAGACCAAATACCGAGTCAAAAGAATCACGGAGAACAAATCCTGATTGTACACCAAAGTGTACACCGCGGGTGGACCCACGGGTAGACCCCTACCCGCAGTTCCGCCCGCGGGTACATTACCCACAAGCCTTGTTCCCCGCGGGTGGGGGCGGCGGGTAGGGCTCTGCCCGCCGTTCCGCCCGCGGGTATGTATACCTACACAAAATAATCCCTTCGGGGATTTTCATCACCAAGCTCAAATTCACGTCCAAAACATGCCAAAACTCACCAAATACAACCAAGTGACTTGAATCAAAGGAATAGCCAAGCAATGTCATACAAGAACCCTAAACACAAGCTCTAGATATGCATTTTCACAAGACAATGCATAAACACTCACATTTCATAGCAAAATCACATGTAGAATCCAAGAAATATTCATATAGGTAAGCAAAATAGATTTTGTAGAGCATGTGTTACCTCTTGTAGACAAAAACCTTGTCTTAACACCTCACCAAGCTCCTAACAAAGCTCACCGTCCAAACCCACTTCAAGAACACACTAAAAGATCATAAAGATTCTATCTTTAAGAAAAGACACCTTAGAAAACACTAAAAACACAAGATGAACATGGATCTTACCCTCCTAGATGCCCAAATGTATGAAAGGTAGAATCTTGGAGACAACTCTTGAAGTTTTGGCAAAGCTTCAACTTGGCTTGGAAGAAAAGCTATCTACCTTTTTAAAGAGAAGGTGGAGCTAGAATTTGGGGAGTGTAAGAAGAGAAATGAGGGTGTTCTATTAGGTTAGCTTACAATACTAACACAAGGTGAAAAGTCAAGAATACCCTTACTAACATGAAGGGGTGTAAGGAAACAAGGGAACTCCTTACAAAGCTCAAGGTACAACTTTGACTTTGGGGTTGACTAGTCAATTACTAGTCCCCGACTATTGAATTTTCAGGATTTAGGAATTAAATTACCAATTGAAATAGGATTAATTATTTAATTAATCCCTTAATCGAATTTGGATTTCGGGGTGTCACATCCTCTCCCCCTTCAAAGAAGCTTCGTCCCCGAAGCTTGGGTACGACGAATTAGAACAAACGGCAAAAAGGAACATCAATGTGACAAGAGTGTCAAGAACAATTTCTTTTGGTCAAAACCCCAAAAGATTCCACAAGATTTCAAGACAAGAAAGAATCCAAACAAGGATTAGCAAAAGTTAAAATAAACGGATAAATTGAGCATAACGAACTCTAGTCCCATCACAAACACCAACTTCTAACCAACAACTAGGAACTAGTCAACCAACTCAAAATGCCAACTACAAAACTAACTAAACAACAAAACAACAAGCAAGAAAAAGCATAAAAGCAAACAACGACTAAACGGTAACAACGGCTAAGAAGATAACAACAACTAAAGAAAAGCAAGCAAGACGGCCACAACCCCACTCTAGAAGGACTCGCTATCCGACTCTTCGGTGCTCTCCTCGGATTCTTCATCATCCTCTCCTCTGCGGCTTGAACTGGTCTCGATCTGATTTAGCCTTTGATGCACGGCGAAAAAACTGCGTCTTCATGAACGCGAAGCCTTCTTCGATCATGCGGTTCTGTTGACGAAGCAAGGTGACAACGCGCTCCTCATGCGTCATGGCATCATGCTCCTTCTTGGTGCGAGCTTCCCTCCTCCTTTGATTTTCTTCACTTTCAGAATCACTTTCTTCGGCCTCGGCAGCTTCCGGTGCTTCCACTTCTTCCTCATGGCCTACCTCACCTTCATCTTATTCATTGCCACCCAAACTCTGAACTGCGAGGTTTAACTTCCCGGCATGAATCCCAAGCTCGGCTGCCAACTCAGCTCTTTCCTCAGGGGCTTTCCTTGCCACTTCTTCAAGAGTGATGTAATCACTATCTTCCAACTGAAACAGATTGCAACTTCGAAGATTGGTGGCATCCAACACCAGCTTTCCCACGGCCTTCGGTAGATAACCATCAACACTCACACCTTTCCTAACCAGAATCCAGCTCAACACCATCCCATACGGTAGGCTTTTTCGGTTATGATCACGGCAGAAAACCATATGTTGCAACATCAAAGCTGGCAGGTTGAACTTGACCATATTCTTGAGGCAAAAGGCAAAGGTGCATTCCAACTTACCCAACAACTTACTTTTGTTGTTATTGGGTAACGAACAATCCGATACCAACATAACCAAGATCCTCTGTTCCGCAGACAACCACTTTTTCTCCGGCCTTGAAGCTTGAGTGTAACCACTCGTGCGACCCAACAAGTAACTCAAATAGTCCCGGTACCCCATGGTATCCGTACTAATCCACGATTTACCGCTATACTGAGCAACTCCTGAAGCAGATAGACTCAAAAGCTGAGCTAGCCTCTTTTCAGACAGAACTACCTTCACACCTCTCACTTTTGAAGTGATCTCAAGATTATCACCATCCTTTGTCACAACCATGTGACGATAAAATTCCTTAACCAAACTCGGGTAAGTCTCGGCCCTTATGGCGAGAAACCCATCCAACAAACCTTGGAATCTAAGCATATCCAACAAAGAATTAGAAAAAGATTCCGGGTCAAAGGCTTTACCTTCAAGAACAAGGTAATGGGTATCCACCGAGCCTCC